AGAGCAGTTACCTCCCCGAAAAATTTGTCTCTTGTCAAATTTTCCCCACCCCTTTCTTCGCCCAATTGAAGTTGCACACAACCGTTATTTCTTTGAATGGCAATGATGAGGTTATTGAGAAACCCCCCGCCCTTGCAAAAGCTCGGTTAAGTTCTTTTGCATAGCATTTTCCCTGATACAAAATAAAAAACGTAAAATTGTAACAAAAATTTTAGTATAAATACATAACGTAACAAGACATTTCAATATAAATACATACAACTCTCCTTCGACCTACAACCGAGCAGTACCAAAAAGAAAATATGTATATATATATATATATACAGGGTCACCAGCCCGTACGTATGGAGGTCCCCGCGCAGACCTCCGTACGTACAGGCGTTCGGGGTCCCGTACGGGGTCCGAACCTGACGGCGTTTGGCCCCCGCCAAAAATTATTTGGGGGCTTAAAAATAATAATTTTTTTCTGAATTTGTTTTTGTGAGTTCTCTATGAAATGAGCTACAGGCCTGTAAATTTTCAAGTCATTTTGCGAAGCCCAATAAGAATTAAAAAACGCCAAATATGGCGGTGTCAAAACGTGCTCGCCAATCTATTTTTCACTTTTTACTTTTTGTTTTCACTTTAGTTCGGGCTCTAAACAATTTTATTATTTTTTGAAACTTTTTTAGTGGGTTCTGTATTATGTGAAGTACACATCTGTCAATTTTCAGGGCATTTTGCTATGCCAAAAAAAAAAAAAAAAATGGCCAAAGATGGCGGTGTCGAAAACATGCTCGCGCACTCACTAAATTTAATTCTCTTTTTATTTTTATTATTTTTATTATTAGTATTTGATTTCTGTATTTTATTTTTATTCCAAATTTGGTGAGGAATTCGGATGCAATGCTCAGGAAAATCTTGTTTAATTTATTTTTCTCCATAACATATCTTTTTTTCGGATTGTTTTGATGATTTTTATTATTATTATTTTTTTTTTTTGTCCACGTTCGGCCCGAACGACCGAACGCATCCCCAAGGGGTCCCATACATGCGGGCGTTCGGCCCATCCCGAACGCCAGTTACCCTGTATACATATATATATATATATATATACAGGGTTGTCAGGCCGAACGTACGGAGGCCCCTAACCTGACCCCTGAACGTTCGGGCGCTCGGGTCCCCGTATGGGGCCCGAACTCGAAGGGGTTCGGACCCCGCAAAAAAATATTTTGGTACCTAAAAATTATTTTTTTTTTCTGATTTTGTTTTTGCAAATTCTATGTTATGTAAGCTATTCGCTCCTCAATTTGGAAGTTATTCTATGGAGCCCAACAATAATGAAAAATCGGCAAAGATGGTGGTGTCAAAACTTGCTTTCGCACTTCTTTTCACTTTTGTTTTTCCTTTTATTTCGGGGCCTGAGAAAACTTATTATTTTTTCAAACTTTATTTGTAGATTCTCTATTATGTAAGATACATATGTATAAAATTTCATGGCATTTGACGGAGCCAAAAAAAAATGAAAAATCGCCAAAGATGGCAGTGTCAAAAACTTGCTCGCCCACGCAATAATTTCATTCTCGTTTTATTTTTTCTTATTTTCATTAATATTATTTATTTTTCGTATTTGATTGTTATTTCAAATTTGGTAAGGAATTTGGATGTACTGTTGAGTCAAATGTTGTTTAGTTTATTCTTCTG